TTTTTTTTTGGGTGGTTCTGTGTAAAATTTTGAACAATAAAAGAATGTTGAAGATCCGGGGTTTTCCATAGAAAAGGCTCTAGACTACTGTCCGAACCTAATATTTCAACAATAATAATATCGGTAAAAATCATATTTATTATAGTAAAATATATATATATTTTTATTTTCCTAATCATATATTAGTTAGGAGTAGAATTCATATTTTCCAATATTACACAAACCTTTCAAGTTTAGTATATTAGTCTATAAATACTCTCTCCAATTCTATACCTTCACTTGATTCATTCATTGTCACATCAAAACATAGAAATCAGCTTATTACTAATATTATTGTTGTTGTATGGCTCATCATGATGAAGATTATTATTTTGAAGATACTTATGAATATGAATATGTCGCTAGTGAAGATGAACCAAATTGGTACAGTGAAAATTCATTGTTCCGACCACTCTTAATTACAATGGTCTCAACTACTTGAAACAAAACTCTCATGTTCCGAGGTTTGATTTTGACTTTGCCCGCCCGTGGTCCCCACTTGGTACTACGCTGTCCAGACAAAGTAGGGGCGGGGTTTCGGAAGAACCAGTTGCTAGGATTTTGAAAGTCAGAGTTTGTGATGACGATGATGATGATCGAGCGTGTGCCATATATTTGGATTGTTTGTCTGGCGAAAAATGCGAGGGCAAAACAGTCATTGTTGTAGTTGCAAGGCTCGACTGTGGGCTCCGACTGCATCCGCAAGTGGCTCGCGCAAAAGAATTGTTGCCCACTCTGTAGAGCCATCGTGTGATTTTTCTTTTTATTTTGTCTATGTTTTTATTTAGGATCATGCTACATGTACCCTTTGGCGGTACCACTCGGTTTACATCCAAAGAGTACATGTACTTATTTACCCTTAATGAATAATAGTAATTATTCATTAAGTATACATACATGTACCTCGAATGTAAACCATGTACCAAACCAAGTAGTAATATAACATTATTCTTTTATTTATAGCATTATTCTTTTATTTATATAGAGTATGCTTGTGTAGGATTATGGTGATTTTACTTTCTGATTGCATTTTTTATTTAATTTTTGTCCTTCTTGAGTTAGGGTGCATTTTTTATTTAATTTTTTTCCTTCTTGAGTTAGGGTTGTATATATAGTAAGCATGGCAGCTATATTTAATTCAATTTCCTAGATGATTTAATGTTTCTTTATTTAAAAATTGGAGGGTCGGCCAAGCGAGCCAACCCTATGGGGGTCCCACAAATTATGTCGGCCATATGTCTTGATTGCCATACAGCGCTAGCCTAACTAGGGCCAACGTGGCATATTTAGCCAACCGACCCTTTTAGTTTTCTAAAGTGCACTCTAAACTCAATTTATACTCGCCCATCTAATTTATGCATCTTCTTAGAAACCGATGTGGGATGATTTTGCCACTTCATGGGCTCAATTTTCGTGTATGCTAAATTTAAATCAAAGGTTACTAGATCCAAAATTATAAACCTACTTCACTACATAACCTTGAATTAATGCGCCCCTAAAGATGAATTAGAACTATTAAATGAAACGAGTTACTCGTATACTAGATTCGACTCATTTGATAAACAAAATCGAACTTGAGCTCGTCTAAAGCAGTTTAATTGTGAATCAGACTTGACTCGCCTCGATTATAATTGTTAAAGCTTAAAAATAGGTTTTTAAATTAACTTTATTATCTTTCAATTTGTTAAACTCGAATTTGGCTCTTTTGCAATATTTCTAGTCCACCAAAAACTCCTCACAAAGCCAAACCTGTTAGGAACTTGAATCGATCATGAACTTATATTCGTCAGTTCAAGTTTAAGGTAAATAATTTTTTTGAATTGTCCATTCCAGTTCAGGCGACCCATTGATCTCCATTCTTTTTTCATGATGGAACTTATCGAGTAGCTTGCGCATGTTTATCTACCTTGCTTCAAAGCATACATTATTCGAAATTATGTTTTTGATATTCATTCATGGTGGGACTAGTGTCATGCACTCATGCTGCTCTTGCAATGTCTTGTGAAAGGGTAATTGGTGGATGGAGTGTAGATACACAATTAGTGATGTTATTGTTCTACAGTAGCAAACAAATTAGATGAAACTTAGAAGAGCTTTAACCGAGCCAAACAAAGATTGACACTGCGATGCATCACCAAACAGAGCAGTAGTTGAGATCATATACATCACCAACCTCTTCAACTTCAACAAACACCTCTTGTTTTGTTATGTTTAACTACAATACGTACCCTTTATTACAAGCAAATAAGACATCATCTACTGAGGTCCCACGTTACATAATCGCCGTGGAAAATGACTTTTATTTTGCTCTAAAAATAGGAAAGTTTTTAAGTCATCATTTATCAGTTAGAAATATGGAAAACACCATTTTCATAAACAGAGATAGAAAAAAAGGAAAAGAAACTGAGACAGCTTTAAAGGAGAATTACTAACTTCAAACAGTATGGTCCATAGTCCACTTTAAGGCTGGAAAAAGGATAACTAGAAAGTCTTCAAAAAAAAAAAAAAGTGCAGTGCATACTGCAGCTCTCATCTACCTGTTGGCCTACATTTTTCTCCAAACGTTCGCTTTTTTTCTTTTTTATTTGAATTTCAAAATTACGTCCCTAAATGTCGAAGTTTTAAGCCATAACGAAAACGGGAAAAGCACAGCACATGCAGAAAGAAAAACAAACAAAAAAAAGATCTGCTTTCTTGTGTTGTACTGTGTTTTTCTCAAGAAGTTGTGTCTTCCTTTCAAAATTCTGTTTCTAAGGTGATTTCTTTTGCTTAACTGCAGCAAATAGAATGGGAGATACAGCTTGTGTCATGCATGGATTCCCATATGCTTCTGCAATTTCCAGTGAATCCTTACAGGTAAGCAAAAAATGAAAAAAATAAAATGAAAAAAATAAAAGACTAACAACACCTTTTTCTGTTTTTCCATTCATTTGTAAATAGCATTTGAATTCTAGTGATTTGTGCAGAACAGAAATTTCATGACAAACTGTTAAAATTCTCAAAAATGGGAAAAAAAATTACACTCGTTTCAGGGGATTACGAAGCATGCTCTCGGCGAATCCATTTCGTTCGGGAGGTTCATGACCGATCAGTCCTTGTCATGGGAAAAATGGTCAGCATTTTCTTCACACAAGAAGTACGTGGAGGAGGCTGAGAGATATTCACAGCCCGGGTCCGTGGCCAGGAAAAAGGCTTTCTTCGAGGCCCATTACAAGAGAATTGCAGCCCAAAAGGCGGCAAATGACGCTCAAGCAGAATCCGAAGCAGCAGCTGATGATTATAATGCTTCTGTTGATGTGAAAATGGAGAAGGTTGAAGTTAAGAATCCAAAGCAAAGTAGCATAAAAAATGTTAATGAGCTTGAAAATGGTTCGAAAGATGGAGAAAATGCATTGGGCACAGAAAATGAATCTTCAGGTGGAAGCCCTGTAAAGAGAAAGTCGGTCGATCAGCTTTTTGCGAATATCCATAGTAATGACAGTCGAAGCAAGAAGCAATCTCGTATGGACCCCACGGACAAAAAGAGATCATCTTCAAAGTCTTTGCGTGCCTTACTGAACTTAGCTCCTTCTACAGAGCTTGATAGAGACTCGATTTCACTTTCAGCCACTAAGAATTCAGCTGTGGTGATTCTCCGCATCATATGGCTTATTGGAAGAAATTATAGTTATATGCCGTAAAAACTTAACTAATTTCCTTTTTATTTTCCCCAAATGCAGGCATCAACTAAGGGTGTGTCCTCCTATGCAGAACCGACCTCTCAATCAGAAAACAGGTTTTAAATACTTCTCCAATATTTTGATTGATCTGTACAAGTCCAGTGTATTAATGCTAATTATTACAGAGCAATGACATACTTCACTTTTTTATGATAAGCAGATTAAAAGTGCCAGTTGATCCCTTGGCCCATGGATGCAAAACTGGCGCGAAGTGGCGCATCTTTTCCCTAGTGTAAGAATAACATTTGTAAGAAAGAAAGATTTGAAGTGTGACGATAATTAATGATGAATAAATGAAAACTAGTTTTTGAGTTCCTTACGAATTTGTGTCGTCTCCAGCTGTTCAAAGTCATCAACTGCCAGTCGAAACAAACTGCAGCCACCAATATCATCCGCTACTTTTAACCCGAGAACTGAAGAAAAAACCGAAAAAAGAAAACAGGCAATGCCCTTCTGTTTTGCTCGTATTTTGTGGAATTTAGTTATTTAATTGTCTCATCATGTCTTTTCATGATGATCACATAATTCTTGAGGAAAAATGATTTTGATAAATGATGTCAATCTCACAGTTGGACAAAATTGCTTCACAGGACAAAGCAGGAAAACAAGTTAAAAAACTGTGCTGCAGCTTTTGTTTCAAAGCTCAACCTCTGCTCAACACTAGAGATAAAGTTGAAAAGGTACATAAAATACCCTCAATTGCTGCTCTTAAGTAGATGATTAAATATTCAACTGAGTAGCCAATTGTTTTTTCTGTCCAAAACGAAGCAAAAATTCGTGTAAAGCCTTCAAATGTTTCCTCTTTGATGTTATACTGTTTAGGTCATATGTTTTTTTCCATTTATGCAGACATCAGTGCCTCCTCCTCCTCCACCTCCAACATCCTCAACAAAGAACAGTGCTTCCAATAATACATCAAAGTAATAATGTTCGCAATCCAAGCGAAATTTCATTTCTACTCAAATACATTACTGGAAAGGATCGTTCATTACTCATCAGCATGTGTGTCGGATTTTCAATCGAGGATTGGGCACAGTACTTCAAATCATTTAATTGTACATGAAGGTGGATTAGATGTTAAAAATATCGCAAATATGCAGTTCATATTCGGATTTCAAATTTTTGGTCTGGTTTTCCTAGGATTGTCTTTACACTTTTTTTTTTCTTTTTTTTCAGAATCAAATGTGTGTGACAATTATTGCCAAATGACCTCAAGAACTATGGGAATCACTTGTCAATTAGTTGTCATTAAAAGATTTTGTGTCAATTGGTAGGGAAGTTAATCAAAAGAAGTGAATGTGTAAGTTCTACTTCTATCCCGACTTATACAACAACTCATAACAGTATTTAATTAACAACTTATAACAGTATTTCATTTTGTTTTTTCGATAAAAATTTTGATAAATTTTGATAGGGTGGTTAAATATGGCAGTAAATGTGATAAAAAGTTGAATTTAATGTTGAAGTTGCACAAGATTGGTGACTGAAAAATGTGCAATGAAATATTGGATTTTAAAATTCATTCCAAAATTTTGGGCACATAGCCAACCAGTTCAATAATTTCTAATGAGAACGCAAAACAAATACAATTGTACATGAAAAGAAAAAGAAAATCAAAATTAGTTGGGGGCACAAGTTATTTGTCATCTATAACTAACTTCATTTAAAAGTCCAAAAATAGATAAATAGTCTGCCCCATTGCTTTGACTATGCCAGCTCTAAATCCTTGATGCATTTTTTTTTTTCATGATCTCACATTGCATATTACAATGGCTGCACTACCAAATATTTCATGATCTGTTTATCAAAGTGCTTTTCCAATTGCTCTAAGACATCGAACCTGCAAATATTGAAGAAGAACTCCGAATATTGGAATTAAATGGCAATTGAGCTTCAGAACTATTGAGGTAGCCAAAGTACATTTCAACGTAAAAGATCTTCTCAGCATTGCTCAGCATTGTCTCTTTGTAGCTCCACGTTTACCTAGGCCAGACGGAGAATATGACCAACTGAATAAAAAATCATGGTGGGCAATGATACTTTTTTTTTTTTATCCGTTTAGTATTTTGTTTGTAGTGTAACACAGATTTATACAGAATTGCATTGTTCAATAGATTAATTCTACAGATTGGATCTTTCTTGCTTACAACAGTAGGACTCGAAGGTGCCTTTTTGGTGGGATAAAGCAGATAATGCTGAGCCATTAATATAAGATCGAACACAATTGTCACCTGCAAAATAAAAAAAAAAACATTCCCTCGATTAAAATAGCTAATACAATGCTTTTATAAACAAAATGAGATTTAGAAATGCACCAAGTGCCATTTCTTACCAGAGCCAACAATGATTTCCCTATGTTTCCATAGAAATTCTCCCAAGATTCTGTGAAAATAGTCACATCGGGAATTTACTCTTCGATATATTATCATATCTTAGCAGATGATTCAGTTCAGTTATTTGAGAACTCACTTTGATCAATGGATTGCATGAGCATTTGAATATTGTTTGCGATGCCACCAAGCAAGTCGAGCAGAACATTGCCAATGCTAAACCCGCTCGTGCTTTTCCGGCGATAATTGTACATGACCTAAGCTTAGATAGTGATAACCAATTTTCATGCAAATTAATAAAACGGATTCTTACTACAAAAATGTTCACATTCAAAAGCTCCCTTAAAAATTTAAGGATGGCTAAGAATAAACAAGAATTCAAAAATCTTGAAATGATAAGTTTATTTCTACTCGCCTGTGGAATGTATTTGACGATCGTCATAACAACCTGAATTGTGCTGTCACAAGTGGGGTGGTTCAAGAGTTAGAACGTAAAAATAAACGAGCAAGCTGTAATTAAGAGAAAGAAATATGTCTATTGATTGAGAAAAAGGCATTCACTTTAAGCAGGACACCAGCCAGAACCAAGAATGGTGTGGTATAGCTATGCACACACAAACTGCAGCTGCTAACAAGAATATAGCAACAATCGAGACGTATAATCTGGAGAATTTCTGTGTCCCACGCTGTAAAATAATCGAATACAAGATCCAATGAATACATTGAAGTATTTGCCAGAAGAAAAACAATAAATACTCTGATCAGTATTAAACTCGACTTACATCATAAATTGCAATCTGATACATTGAAAAAGCAGACACAAGAACAACATGTATGGAGAAAGCCAGATCACTTTGAGCAACAGGCAACATCTGCAAAAAAAAAAAATCACAACAGCAAATCCCTTTCACATCCTTCAAACCAAAATCCCTCACAATCAAGGATACAATCATACAAAACCAACATTGCTTATTAATGATGTACCTTATCATCCCCAAATTTTCTATGGTATTGCTTTTTCACTGTTGGACTAAACAATATGGAGACATTGTAGACCAAATACGCCAACTGCTTTACCATATTCAGCAGTGCATAATCCAAATTAAACCCTGCCACACTGAACCCACAAAAAAAAATGAAATTCAACCAAAAAAAATTGAAGACCCATTATCAGAATCAGCAAAATTCAAGAAGTGGAAAAAGGTGAAACCTTTTCCGTCTGAAATTCAAGAGGAGTTGTGGGTAGAAACATATGGACCAGGAGACGAAGGCTACCCATCCAAACACATTGTACAACACCTTGAGCTCAACTGAATCCCAAGACGCCATTAAATCTACAAAGGGTTTGGATTTTGAGGCCTTGTGTCTTGAAAACGATCTTCATGCTTATAAATAGAGAGTGGACCACCGAAATTAGTACGTGAATATCGCGGCGGAGAAGATAAAGAGGGAAGAACGAGTCCGCCAGGTGAGCTGGGGGCTGCAGAGGAGAGGACTGAGTGACACTACACTACTCATGAAACTAAAAAAAAAAAAATGTGAATGTGGTCAGCTGGGATGTCCAGATTCTCAACAAACCAGCGGCTTTTCTTGATTTTGTGAGACTGAAGCTTCGGATGATGGTTAAAGAATGGGTATGGAGCTCACCTGGACAACTGGCGACTGTTTCTTTCTTGCATCCTCACACTTTTTCTGCGTTTTTTTATTTTTTATTTTTTTTCCCTTTTTTAGTTGAGATTGAAGTGCGTATTAAATGCCAAATTTCGATTTTTCGTTTTTAATTTATAATTTCAGTTATTCAATTATTATAATAATAAAATACA